TTTTATATTGACGAAAAAGATTATATATCTATCTATCTATCTATCTTTCTAATGTGTTTTTTTAAACCTCAGTCTTTTGGAAAATATGTCATACCGTCATGAGAGAGAGAGAGAATAAACAACAGAAACAAAAAGTTAAGGAGTTAAAAATAATTCAAAATTGTACCTTTTTTTTGCTGTTAGCACATCAACTGTTTTAAGCAAGAACAATTAAAAGTTTTACCTGAAATACTCCAAAGTAATGAAGCCTGAACAAATTAAATGAAGCTTGAACATTGACGATTAGGAACATAAAAAAGATTTTCCATTGTGATATTTATTGAAATGGTCTGAAGCCTGAACCCTGAAGGTCTGTACCAAAATATATTTCCGAAAGTTTAAGGGGTTTAAACTTTAACTAAAATCAGTTTTAAATGTCAATGTTGACATTACGTCAACATTTAGATTGTGACTTCTCAAACTCTGTACAAACAGATGGGAAATGGAAAAGATTGTTCGAGTGGTCATACTTTCAACGATGTCTTTTTAACGGTGAAAATATATACAGGTTATGATTTTTTTTTTTTATTGTTGTATCACGGACGAATATTTGAAATGAAGTTTATGCCTTCCTTCTTACCAACATGCCAAGAATTGGCGTTGAACCACATCTTTATAGTTTCTTCGGCAAGCGCGCTAACAACTGCGCTACTGCTGCTCATAAATTTTGTTTTTATTATGTTATATTGTTATGGATCATAGTAAAAAAATGTGACCGTAGCTTTGTTATTCTCATGCAGCTAATCAAACTTATTGCTTCATAAATAAACTTCTCTCTTGAAATAAATTAACTATCAAAAGATAGACTTTTTGACTGAAAAATGCTAATGTTTCTTTGTGCTATGAAAACATAAAAACTTCATCTGAAGTTATTTTTATTTTAAACAAACATGCATAAATCAAAGGTAGTATTATTTATTAGTATTACTATCTTTGTAGTAAAAATTTTAAAGGTCCTTTTTCCTTAAGCACGAAATGTTTTAATCCACCTCTGTGTTTATCTTACATAAATAACTAACTTTTAAATTAACTCAGTAATTATAACTATTTTTATGTCATTTGTTTTCATTATAGATTTAAAAAATTCAAGTTTTAAATAGTAATATTAATCATAGACATATTATTTACTTAACAAAACTAATTCGCAACCATGACAACAACACTAACAGCAACAGTGAACTCGTCGAAATTTGTAAAAACGCTTAATCAATAAGCTGCGAGGTAAGCACATATTGCAAGTCTTCTAAATATTTTTTTTTATAAACAAAAGTGTAAAAGAAAAAATTTTTGAAGAAAAATTACATATATCATATAATTGTAGCAAATCTGATTTTTAAAACGAGTTTATTTATTCCATTCAAAAATCACAGGTTTGGTGTAAAAATAATAGGTTTAGTCGTAAAAATCATAGGTTTATTTATAAAACCAATAAATTTTCAAGATTTTCAAGGTTGATCTAGCAGCGATATAAAATTATATATTATAAATATTTCAAAAACGCGAGAATGCTTAAAAAAAAAAATTGAGTGTCTAAAAGGTTATAGAAGAAACAGGAATTGCCCGGTAAATAGTTTTTGCTGTTAAAAAACATTTTTTCAAAATTGTAGTAATGTTAGAAAAACAGAGATATCTAATGGACAAAATAAAATTGTTAATTACTGTCTGGTAAGAATCCCTAAAGAGCTAATCTAGAGAAATCTACACCAGTCAAGAAGTGACACGACCTCCAACCTCAACATTTTAGAGTAGACTGCTTGCAGAGTTGCCAAAAACAACATAAGGGCTAAATTTCTCCAGCAAAATTTTTTTGAGCGGTTTATGGGATTTTGCTCAATGATTATTAGATAGACCTTTAGTAACATCCGCATAAATGACCAGCCGATAACTTTTCAACATCTGATATAGCGGCTAGTCGTCTGTTAGCGACTTTTGGAGGCTGTCACTATAGATCAGCTAAGTAACCGATTAACAAAACTACATTACACCGCTCAAAATTCCTATATGGATCCACTTAAATTCCGCTATAGAATATTTGTTGTGACTAGTTAAAATTTAAATTTACTTCAATTATATATAAACTTATTTGAGTTATACATAAAAAGACATTTAAAGTTTTTTTGACGTTGTACCAAGACTTTACGTATTTTTCTAGCAAAAAAGTTAGAAGATCCAACATCGTAACGAACTTTTTTTCGCAGGATCTGTTTTGATTGAAAAGATAAGACAGTTGTTAAGACAATCCTGTTCCATGGTAGCTCTTAGAGAGTTTTTTACGAGATCTAACTTGCTAAATAATCTCTCGCCTTTAGCCACAAATACTGGCAAAGAAAGATAGATACGAAGATAGATGCATGTCTGAAGGAAATTTCCTTTTTTGCATAAATGATAATCAGAAGATCTAAGGGTGGATCATTTCTCAGTAGATTTTTTTTTTTCAATTTTACTTTAGGTGCCCCAAGAAGTCCTTACGGACTTATCACAGAGCATCGCGGATGAGCATTTAATTGGAAGTTCACGCCTCCTTCCTAATTGATGTTGCAAAACTTTCCCAGAGGTGGGGTTAAAACCACGGATCCTATGTTTCTAAGGCAAGTGTGCTACCACTGCACCACGGCTGCTCTACTACGCCACGGTTTCTCGTGATGATGGCGTCGAACAGATGAAAAGCGGCGGAGCTTATCAATTAATTTGTCTTCAGTTAAATCATTTAGATACAGAAGTATCTAAACAGAAGATCTCTAACTTTATATTCATGACTGTTCGTTAAACCCGAA